CCTCATCATAGCGATCACAATTTCCCTACCAAGTTGTCAAATGAAAGGGTCTAGATAAATTTGTGACAACCGATACGGTGAAGATGCGTTAAGAGACAGGTCAAGAAAGTCAGAAATCATTGAAGCTGGTGAAAGATTAACATAGAATCTAATCAGCAGTTGAAGTAGGAAGATTGTTTTGTGATATTTACAGAGCATTATGATCACTCGTCAAGTTTGGCATGTAACGTGATGACAATAAAGTTTGTGCAGCTAAACTATTGGAAATGTTCAGTTGTTTATGAGGAAATATGAAAACGGTTATACTGATTTTCTTCCTCTTTTGTCGTCTATTGATACCAGGCTGTAATCCAGTGCCGTTGTTTTCTGTATTGTCTTGCGCTTCTTGGGTGTTTTAAGTGATGGATCTTTTATTTCTCGTATTTTTGCGTTTTGTTTTATTAAAGTTCATAATACAAATTATGAACTCGATGGTTTCCAGATAACACGCAAATATGTATCACACCATAAACTCAATTGCTGGCTAACATCTGTTGCTGAAGTGAATACAAAAATAACTTCCAAAGTATAACATATTTATCTATTTTCTTATATTTAAGCCTAGGGCCGTGGGAAAGACAAATATGCCTCCTAAGGCTAGAAGGTTTGATAGTGTCGCATTCATGTTTATTTAGAATACTACTGATGCTGTTTATTCACCGTTCACGTCGTCTATCTCTGGCTGTACATCCAATGCTGTTTTTCTTGTTATTTGCTTTTTTTTTTTTCGGCATTTTATAAAGCTTTAATATCATATGATGCAAAACCTCTCTCTTTTTTGCTAGATTTATTATATCTGTTGACATCATTTTCTCATGGAAACCCAAAGATAGTTTTTCAAGCATTTCTTCTCACTCGCGATGTTTCTTTCGCGCGATCTGGTATGTATCTTTTATCATGATAGAAAAATGTTGGCCATTTAAGTACCACAAGAGTTGATAAGCAACTGTATTGTTCTCTTGTCATCGTTTTTCCATCTCTCCCAAACTGTGTAATAATGTAATAAATTGATTGTATATTTGACTGCTGTTTTAAACTGTTCCTGAATCCTCTCATACACATGAGCTGATTTTGGTATGTATGCTACAATTTTGTTAAAACATAAAGTTTCAATACGAACGATTAACGTTATTTTTTAATCTCTAGAAGTTATGACATTTAAGCTTATTATCAGTAAGCAAATCAAAGGACGCTTTTATACGTTAAATACAAAATTAATCAACATAGAATCATATTAAAAGTAATGTAGGGCTAGACAATATAGGAAAAAGAAAAAGAAAAACACGTTTTTGGAATAAATTTATAGACTACTAGCGTAAAGCAACGGAGTTATTGAAATTATTTTTAAAAATGAGCATTTCATAAACAGACGAATTTAATGTTTCAGCAGGAAAAGTATAGCAGATGCTTTTGTACTACTCAGAACGCCACCCCCCACCCCCAGTACATTGGTCTGCCTTTATTTCAATGCCTCGTGAGTTCCAATATAATACCTTTATAGTTATATTGTTCTCAGGTTTTATCAACTTGGGCCCAATCCAACTCCAGCGTTGTCTCTCCATCTCTTGATTCATTGGCCTTTGCTTAGTTCATTGTGAAAGCTTCACATCAATGATTCTATCCTATTATTTGCCCGGCTCTCTAGCGTAGTTGGCTAAACCGAATTGCGCGGAGACCGGGTGACGAACTCCTTGTGGTCCGGGTTCAATCCCGGGGGTGGGCAGGAAAGCCACATTCTTTCCCAGATTTACGGTGTTTACAATGGAATCAAGGCCGAAAGGTTGCGATATCCATAATACCGAGCCTAAGGGTTAACAACTCATGGCTTCGGGATACTAAAACAAACAAACAAACATCTTATTTTTTAATTCCCCCTGTTCTGCGCAGTATGAATCATGTACCGGAGTATTACTTAAATATGCTATCAAAATTATGATGCTCTAAAACTCTTAGCAATAATTTGTATTTCATAACATAATAATAAAATAGTTAGCTTTAAAAGCGATTAATTAAATTACAGTACATTAATTAGACTTTGAAAATACACAGCAGTTTAATTTACGAACTGATTTAACGAATAATGTCGAAACATGAGAATATATCTTATATAATAGTATTGGTGGGAGACCGTTCTGACTGATGAATATATCATCTGTCTTTTAACATATACAGATAAAGCAAACCATATACCGGGTATATACAAACAACTGGACTAATTCACTGGGTTCAACAAGAATTAGAGTTAAACACGCACTATGCTATATTTAATGATGGTACACATACAGAAACATAATGGGGATAAACTGACAGATCCAGTGCCCAGGGGACTTATTTAAATGTTAAAGGTTCAAATCACCGATGCTCTTAGGGAAAGAAAACATTACAGATGGGATGGGTTGTGGTAGTGCCAAGTAATGATGTAAACAATTAATGGTGACAGATAAAGAATACGCGGGTCAGTTGAACGCCATTTGTTGTTGAATCTCACAACCAGATTAGTAACAATTTAACAGGGAAAGATTGTGGGAAACGTTGTTGTGGCGGGTTTGTTGTTTCTGTGAATTTTTTTTTTCTGGTGTAAAATGGTGTTTTTTTTTGTTGATAAAGACTTCGGTCCAAAGTCTGCGTCTCTTCCTCTCGATTCGCTGAACTCCCGAAGCATATTTATTTTTACATTATTTCATTTCTTTGTCGGAAACCATACGTCCCATTGTTAAACTGAATTGCCAGGGATGTCATTTTCCAGCTCAAAATATTAGCGGGATATCCCGTTTTTAGCTCAAGATGCTATGGTCACCCTAACCAGTGATCAAGCTGGTTAGCAAATGATCTTACTGAATTCGATTATTTATGTACAATGTCAACCACGTATTTTACTCTGCTGTTGGATGTTTCTAGTATGTCCAGTCCTTCCTGCTTCAGGTGCCTAGTTTAAGGGGAATGTTGGCAATCATGTCTGTCCAGACCTTTCTGTCATTTAATATTTGTATCATATTGATTATACACATTATTGTTTTAAAGCTGTTTAGCTGTTGTAAATTTCAACAAACAACCATGCTTCCGGTCAATGTGACGGATAGGAACGTTCACTGTTTTTAGTTGGGGCAAGCTTTTGCTTATGACAATAGTTAGGCATTGCATTTTCCTGTATATATAGTCTGAAAGGATATAATTCTGTCGCCCAGCTACTGAGCTGAGTTGATGACGTCACACTGTGAGCTACATATTTAATTTGGAAGCTTTTCAACTGTGCCCAACGTGGCTTGTGATGCCAACTGCAGAGGCACATAAGTGCGAGTAGCCTGTTTCTAAAGATAACTGGTGGTGCCTTTTAAGATTAATTGCGTGTGCAACTACTGATCTATTGTAACTGCTGCTTCTCTTCGGCGACGAATTACATTTATAGTGCCGGACTATATGTGTTGACACTTCTGTCGGCTGCCTTATGCATTTAATGTGTGTAAATGCTACTGGTTTCGATGAGAACTGCAGCCTTTGTCAAGTTTCTCCTCCAAGAACAGTGATGGATATTCTGTGTGATTTTCGTTGGTACAGGAACGGAGCAACTATAGGGTGACCCGTTTTCTACAAGGTTGGAGCTGCAATTATCTGATTACCTGAAAGAAGTTGCACGATGCAGCAAAATATGCCAGTCACAAAATTTGTTGTTGTTGTTGTTGTCTGTATCTTTCTTGTTCAAATATTACTGTCGGTTGGCCAGCTGTTTACTGTGAAGAATGTTTAGCTTGGTAAAGAAAAAGTAAAACACGCGCTGATATTGACAAATACATTCTTGGATCATTTACTAACCCCCAAGGAATAAACGGCTGAAATTCATGGAGCATATCAAGATGAGATATGGAATAAAGAAATTAGAATAATAAATGTAAGCATCATCATCATGCAGGAGATCCTTTGCAGCTTTCATCACGGTCACCCTGAAAGAAACCCTATCTCTTGTCAGCTCTCCCGTCTCATGCTCTTTTCTACCCAAGATGTTGTCAGTTATATCCATCTTTGTGCTGCTCGACCCCTGCCTCTTCTTTACCGGTACCGTGCCTTCTGCTATTATTGTTTCCAATTCCTCGCGATGTTTGATGTGGGTGCCTATAAACCGGTAATTCTCTGACATACATAAGTAGGGTGGGAGATGTTAAATATAGATGCGGGCTGAATAATCTAAAACATTTGCAATGTTGTTGATAAGAACATTTGTAGGAAGAAATAGATGAACAACAATTAGCTATAACAAAACAGATAATGAAATTAGCAGTTTTATACAGGAATTCACACTGATGTCATACATGATACTGTGAGCTTTGACGTGGATTAGAAATGGTTAAACACATAATTATAATTTCAGATTTTATATCTAATGAAATATCATTCATTTAAAAAGAAGCTATTTTCCTTCATGTGTGTTGATGTAAAGGCTATTAAAATGACCATATAAGTTATTTGTGTGAACTTCATAAAATACTAGAGACACAATTGCAGATATAAACAATCTATTTCAAGCGAATGAAAGAAGAAGAAGAATAAATCTGTTTGAACGAAACTTTTTAATGTTTATTACTTCTTTCTTTCTTTCTTTATTTATTTTGTATGCACTAGATGAACGATTATATTGATAAGCAAGCAATCTATTGTTGATATTTGATTATTTCTCATTTATGATAATACAAATGTGACTTTTGATTTATTCAGCATTGTTACAGCTTTTATTATTGTCTGTTACACGGGGAATAGTCTTGATAAACTATGCATTTTTTTTTTATATTTTAAACTCATAATATTTTTAAAGACTTTGTGTTAAGCCACAGACATTTTATGCAGGAACTAAAAATTAGTTCCACTACTAACACTGACACCGGCTATTAGCAGCTGGTCTTTTGTGAGTAAGCTCTGCAGCCCCTGGGCTTGGTAGACGACACAAATGTTTTGATCTGTGGTTTTCTCTCCTAGTCCTGAAGCTTATGCCACTCGGCGATTTGCTTTCGCGGACAATTAATCACCTCGCTCCAGTGACTAGCCTCTTGTCCTTCACATTTCAACCCAATCTCCAGACGTCCGATGACCTCATTTTTGGTCATACGGTCCCAGTCCAACACAAGCAGCTCTAGGGAAATATTCTGAAAGACAAACATAAAGAATAAATAATATGTATATAGTTTGACATATAAACTAAACATTAAGTGATCGAGGCTGTAAAAAAAAAAAAAAACTCAACTTTTCTCTGTTATGTGAACAGAAAGATAATGTGATCAATTTAAAGTTACCATGGTAACCATGTGGTTGATGTTGATTAGGAATTTCCTGCGGATGCACACAACTCGACAGTGTGGTTTATTCATTTAGGCAAGAGAAGGATTCATTTTGTGCTTCATTATATGTTGATTTAGCTCTGTGGTATTGCACCTGACGAGATACAGCAAAATATGCCAGGCAATAAATTGTGCAATGTTATGTTTGTGTCCGCATTATTTACATTAACAACAGGGAAACATTGTTTTAATTCCAAAATACCCGGTTCGATTCAATGCAGGCTTTTTGGCAGCAGGCCGCTTTCTGAGAATATTATGGAGCGGTGATGGTGCTGCTGATAGCAATGTTACTAAAAGTAAAATTGCCAACCAAAAAAAACAAACAGCCAACAAATAATGCGATAGGGAATGTAACGAACATTAGGGGATATGCAGCTAACTCTAAAATAAACTGAATGTTAACATGTACGTGGTATTTCGGACATGTACAGTCTCAAATATTGGAGCGAATCTAGGCGATTTTGGAGTTAAAAACTCACATCATAACGCGGGGAATTCCACAAAAAATCTCCGCTTTAAACAATCAGTGCAGTTCCAAAACTTAGAGTGCCTGTTACAATCTGATTTTATGTCCATCTTGCTGTTCTTCTGAGTTTTGAGAATTGGCTAGGTCTTCTGGTGTGCTACTCTCTTTCTGGGACTCTAAATTGAGTTTGGTAAATTTGGAGCTTTTCCAAGTACAGTCCGTTTAGAAACGCATTTGTGAATATTTAAAATGCTACTATTACTCAACAAACATTGAATCGAAGTTTCTAGCATACTGTAGAGAAACATAAATTATAACTTTTTTATGAGAAATCATTTTAGTGACATGTGTCAAAAGCCACGTTTTATGTCTATTTATTGTATGCAAAAACCGACACAATGCACAGAAACATACACACACAAAAATATATATACACACAAATATAATTATCGTCATTATAATAAATTTCACCATTAATATTAATGTACACCAAAAAGCAATCGCATGTACATGTATATTTAAAACTGACCCACTATGAATGTGGGCATTGAACATAGTCTATAAAACTGCTTGTGTGGGTCCCAGCGTCAAAGTTGAAACACAAACAAGTCAACTCAATATACCATAACAAGCATGTCATAAAAGTGACCAGTTAAGGTTTTGCCGAAATCGGATGTGCTGAACCGAAAGGAGCATAAAAACAGAAAAAGAGGACTACAATGCACAACAGTGGTGTGCTAACTTAACATAGTGTTCTCCACAGACTCTTAATGAATGAAAGCTTCCATAACGGTCGCTAACTAGATGTAATACTGGCGCTAATATCAATTCAACGAAAGTTCAGTACTCAGAAGAAAGGTTAAGTGGGTTCATTTCTCTGCAGGATTTATAAAAATGTCCAGGCTTCCTAGAGAAGAACAATGCAAAACTTTCGAAAAAAAAAAAAAAAAAAAAAAAAATCTGCTTATAGAAAAAGGCTCCAATAAAAGGACACAACATATTATCAGTTGACATTTTTGAGGGAGATATATTATTAATTATGTTGTGTAGTTCATAATTTGTTCGAGAAAGGCCACCGGCCCGAAACGTTGTGTGCACGTTTTTTGCTTCCCCGTTTCGTTAAGCTGTTTAGTCGCATTTCACTGGAATTACTCCAAATTTTCTTGAAGTGACGTAACCATCAGGTTACTTATGTGATTTAGTGCCCCCGGGGCGTATCCATGAATGTTTCAGTCGTCATTTTGATAAACCCATGACCAATGTTTCAGTCGTCATAACTGATAAACCCATGGGTATGTAGTGAGAGGTAAGAAGAGTAGGTGGGGTTTTATTTGGAAAGAGTGAATGAGCACTGTTTGAAAACAGGGAACCTCGCGTACAACGTCACTACTTCCAGTATGAGACTGGAACTGGATGCGGTAACGGCAGCGTTGTGATGGCTTGAGAGCGGCAAAGCCTGTGTCGTGCTGCTACTGGCGAAGTCGTGCTTGCTTGTCGTGCGCTATTCGTGTATGTCTATTTTTCCAAACTGAGCTCTAACCGAAACTATCAAAACTGTAATCTTTTTTCACAAAAAGTGTGTATTATAGAAAGAATCGCCAAGAAGAGCGACAGTAGCTAATCTATCAGCTGCTCGTTACCCCACACACTTGAATTTCCCCGACATAAAATCCCAGATATGCTCCTGATGTGAGTCTTATCAAGTGATGCAAGCCGCTCTGCACGCAAGATGCCAGTTAAAATTTTTCGAAGCATGCTCCTCGAGTCCCTTAAAGTTACAACAGGCTTTGCCGCTCTCAAGCCATCACAACGCTGCCGTTACCGCATCCAGTTCCAGTCTCATACTGGAAGTAGTGACGTTGTACGCGAGGTTCCCTGTTTTCAAACAGTGCTCATTCACTCTTTCCAAATAAAACCCCACCTACTCTTCTTACCTCTCACTACATACCCATCTGTTAGTTAGTTAGTTAGTTAGCTGGGTTATCATCATTGCATTCCGGACATGTCCATAGGTGCTCAGATCCTCCCCTCAGTATGAAACCCAACGTCCGATGGCTAATAGTACCAGTTCTATGTTGATTAACAAGTTTTCTGACGTATCCGGTGTGCGTCTCGTTTTTTGCTGTGCCGATCTTAATTCCCAAGTCTGCCATTCTTGCGAGTGATGTAGATTCACTGCCACCAAAGTCCTCTATCCTTCCCATTTCTCTGAGGGCATTGATAATATCAGCATGATCCATAGGCTGACCGTCGGTAGTGATAGCGGATACAGCCAACCTGTCAGCTCTTTCATTTCCATCGACGATAGCCATCTGTATATATTATGATGTCACCTAGGAGTTAGTTTTCATTTATCAGCTCTTGAATCGCTGACTGTATTTCACCAGTTTTCCATTCCGTGTATCCTCGGTCCAAAGTAACTATCATACTATGCTAGGCTGTTATGTTGGGCGACACTGTAATCCATTCCTCACTATGCGCTATTATCAGATCAGCAGTACAAACACTTCTTAAAGTGACCTCTGCTTGTGCCATCCAAGAATCACCACTTTTCAGCTGATATCCCTTGCTATCCACCCAAGGCCTTATGCAGAAGGTATTCACTGTCCGTTGAAACTTTAAAGTACATTTTCGCCTGTAAAGCCTTGTATAGTGAATGTTTTCTTAAACATCTGTTCTATCATTGAAGGTGTTAGATGCTTGCATGTTTTGAAAGATCTTTAACATTCAGATGTGGACAGTTGATGCTTCAGGACCAGCGCTCACAATGACCATGAGTTTGTAACGCCTTTACTGGGCAAAGACCTATTATAGACTCAGTTCTCCGGCCTATCTTCAGTTTCAAGCAATAGCTATGCCTCTTTGTGCATTTAAAGTAACAACCATATGTTGCACAATGCTGGGTGGACAATGGATTGAAAAGTTGTGGTATACAGTACCTATGGAGATATACTTTCCTTGTGGGCAGGGACTCCAGTATGTCAACTACTTTCCGGAGTAAGAACGTCTCATGACAGTGCATCAGATTGAACAGTTTGAACTTGGTCTTTTAGAGAGAGAAATGAAAGCCAACCAACGAACGACCATCAGGAGAAGGGCTTTTTTCTCGTGCGGATTCCGAGGCTCTATCGGACGGAGCTGGGGGTGAACTCAGTGCCATCTAACAAGCATGCCATAAAAGGCGACTAATTACAAATTTGCTGAAATCGGATGTGTTGAAAAGAAAAGGGCCGATATTGCAGCTTAGCTGCTAGCCACAACAAGCAAACTGCGCTATTTAGGATAAGCACAGAAGAAAAAGAAGAAGAAGAAGGAGAAGAAGAAGAAGAAGAAGAAGAAGAAGAAGAAGAAGAAGAAGAAGAAGAAGAAGAAGAAGAAGAAGAAGAAGAAGAAGAAGAAGAAGAAGAAGAAGAAGAAGAAGAAGAAGAAGAAAAAGAAGAAAAAAAAAAAAAAAGGAAAAAAAAAAGAGTTTATAGTTATTTCCATTATATCGGTATGATTCAAATTCCATAACTACACCATACATACCTGAAGTCCCTCATTGTAGGGAACATCAAATAAAAATGACTCATTGAAAACTGGGTTCAGCGTTCTTTTCTTCACATGCGTTTTCTTCTTGGCAATTCTTTGTCCATTGTACATCAGATAGATCTTCACGTAGGGATCTAAGGACATTTATTTACATTTAATACTGACGACTTCTACGAGGGTAAACATTTATTCTATGTATGGACAAGTATGGGCAATTTTTGGCAGATACACACATTCATTTATTTTTGGCTTCTTTTTCAGCATTCTGATCTCTTTGGGTTCATTGCTCCAGATATCACCAAGATCCAGTCATCGCCGTGACTGGTCTTCTCCTTTCAGTTGGTGGCTTGTAGGTCTGCCTTTAAATGATCTCTCCATCTGTCTTTTTTGGCATGCTTCGTTGACTGTCAGCAATCACATCTTTTATGTATTCAGTTTTTATCTCTCTGTTATCTGCCATTCTCTTTCGTATGCTCCACTATTGCAGTATATTACCCACGATGCCAGAAATTAGTGTGGATTAAAAATAGAGTAAGAAGATTATGTGTTCGTACAAACTTCGGCAAAACCAGAAATACTTTTATATTTGGATATTGTAGTTACAGGTAACTGGACAGATGTAATACCAGATAAAGTAACACTTGATTTGAACTCATCTTAATTGCATGGTCGTATTACTAGACTAGGTCACAATGGTATCACACCATGAAACAGATGTTTTTTTTTTTTTGGCTTCGCCTTTTCAGTTCTTCTTTTTCTTTTCCTTCCTTTGTGTTTTTCTCTTTTTTTTATTGTTACTCATTTTCGTCTAATAATTTTTCTTGTCTTTTTTCTTTCTCTATGTCTTCTTCTTTTTCTTTTACTCCTGCTCCTTTTCCTCCTTCTCCTTCTTCGCTGATTTCTTCAGGGTTCGGCTTTGGATCATCCATTGGTGACAGTGATCTTGCCGTGTTCTTTATCATAGTGAACTTTTCTATTATGAAATGCCCAGCTATTTGAGGCATTCCAGATACACATGTTTTCATCTTTGTCTGTCTCTACTGTGTAGTATTTTTTAGGCCAAAACTATTGCATCTGTCCAAATCTCTTTGTTGATATACATTAAGATTTCATGGTTTCAGGCCAATATTTTTATCACAACTGATGGCTGATTTGGTCAAAACACAATGGCTGTCTTCACTTTAAAGGACATGTCCAGATACATAGAGAATACTGTGGCCAAAATTCGCTCACTGCTACTGTAGCTTTCTATTAATCATACAAGTATCAATCACTGTAATTGGTACTTGAATACGAACTGAATTATCATTCAACTTCAAACAAACACTCAACTTGTTCGACAAAACACATTTATGAACAGCATTGACTACACATTATTCCTTAGGAAAAACACTTTACTGTTTATTTTTTTTTTTTTTTTTTAAATTATTACCGAATGCTTTTAGCTTTAATGTGTTTTCTGATTTGTTTATATGTGTCTTCTCTACAGGGAATCCTCAGATTGTCCTAGAAATTGCAACTCCCACAGAATTTAACTGAAACTGCAAAGTGACATTGTATAGATGCTGATAGCCAATATCCCAGAAACGTTCCTTCTCTCCCAGAACTAGGAGTTTCTATTGATGTGGCTGCGGGGGAAGAGGAATTGTCCGAACAAAATGGAGTGCGGGGTAGTCAATAAGGATCGGATTAAAGTAATCACGGAAGCGTGAATTTAGCTGGCAGACACGAACACTGTGATTACATTCTATATGATGCGAACAGTGAAGTGACAGTTTTTACCAAGGGTATTTAAGTGACTAGGCATTATGCAACGAGAACGAGAATCAACCAAGTAAGAATAGTAAATGACCTTTTTATCTATGCCGGTCTTGCATGGAGATATTAACGATAGACTGATATGTTTATTGACTCAATCGACTCTATGTGGATGATAGGGTCAACATGATGCCGACTGCCTTTACTTCCAGGAAACTATCTGGTATCAATTTTGAAAGGTGCTGGCCTGGGAACTAATGCTAATTTTGAAAAAGAAATATTAGTCTAGAAGCGGATTCGAACCCAAGACCTTAACACTGCAAGGCGTGCATCCAGCCACTAGGATACCAACCAACCAACCAACCAGGTGTTTTAGCCTAATGGCATGCTTGCCTGCTGGTGCGAATTAAATTAATGAGAAATTTGTTTTAATTACTCGGTCATTCTGGTCGACCTAGTCTGATATGGTGTCAGTAAATGTTCTGGGAAAAAAAAAAAAAGGTTGCCTTTTGTATATCGACCACATCAACTATTGGTCTTTTAAAAAAAAAATGCTAACGCAAAGTACTCAATGTGTTTCACATGTATGGAAAGGGATTCTATACTTAGGAAGTGTATGTGACTGAATTGTGCATAAATGTTATAGTAGTAGATTTTTACCCCACTAGGACATCACACAAGCGATAAACACCCGATGACACAAAGTGCCACCATGTGGAAGAAGATCACATGTGGAGAGGTCCCAGAATCCGCGTTAAGCAATTAGACCATATTTATGGTCGGGTTATATTGCGTCCCCTGGAGAAGGAGATGACTGGATTATCATCCTAAATGTTATCTAGCGAATCCCTAAGAATACAAACAGAAGGCTGATATAAGCTTTCTTTTAAACGTTTTCATTTAATATATATGGCTCTCTTTGTTGAGCTCCACAGTTATAGCTTCAGCCTAAATTGGTTACCTCTTTAGCGAACATGAGAAAGAGACAGCGTTGGATTGGTTACTTGATCCTGAAGAAACAAACTTTATTTTTGTTTTTACAGAAGAAAAGTAACACAGAATACAATAAAATATAGCCGAAATGAGAATCTATCATGAGAAAAGGAATCTAAGCATCTAAGGAATAAGTGAAAGAATGAAGAAGAGGAGAAAGGGGAGAAAAGAAGAAGGAGAGAAGAAGAAGAAGAAGAAGAAGAAGAAGAAGAAGAAGAAGAAGAAGCAGAAGAAGAAGCAGAAGAGAAGGAGTATAAGCATAAGAAGAAGTAAAAGACAACATCGGAGACAAATAACTTTCTCAGCATACGATGACTGGATGTTTTAGTATATTTTAAAAGTATTGTCACAACGGCAATGCTTTTAGATCCTGCTATGATTTAAGACTATTACGTCTGTTTTCCTATATATCTTAGAGATTGATGAGAAGAGCACTGACCCGAAAGACCACTGATATCCATTTTGGGTAGATTCCTGGCCTTGAGTACCACTACACCGAGTCTGTTGGCAGCCGGCTGGTAGCAGAGAGAGACGAGCAATTCTCCGTGTCCTTGGTTACGAAACTGTCAAAGATACAAAGAACATGAACTTTTTTCATCATTATCATTATAATAATGATCTAATTTTATCGTCAAGCGTCGTGAGAGGGGAGGCAGGGGGGGGGGAGAGAAGAGAGAGAGAGAGAGAGAGAGAGAGAGAGAGAGAGAGAGAGAGAGAGAGAGAGAGAGAGAGAGAGAGAGAGAGAGAATGAAATAGGGTGGTGGTAAATTTGTAATAAATTCTTTTGTAAATAGTAATGACAATTGGCATTATATATTGATGTAGATGGTCTTTAATGTCAAATCTGTTTATACATAAAGTTACAATTTGGAGGATCAAGCTCATGACCGTTTTATTCAATATGGCTCGGTCTCACTCCGCAGAACAGCTAGTCTCCTGCCAAGAGTGTCCCCCACAGTACAAGCCCCAGATCTCTAATGACGATGCTCAGAGATCTCTGTAAAAAAAAATGCACCCACGAAGTTAACGAAGCATCTGTGAAACGAATGCGCGACCTTAGGCTCTTGAGGCAAACACTTTAACCACTTAACACTTCATTACGGTGACCCCTGTATTTATCTGTATGTACAGCAAAAGATTTATGAGAATATGATGTAGGCGGTGGAAGACATTGCTTGGGCATGAAAAAGGAAAACCAGGATGGAAAATGTGACAAGGAAGTCACGAAAGAACAAAACGTTTGAGAAGTAACACGTTAAACTCATGCCGCGACAATAATGGTACAGAGCTCCCTTGTACGTTTAATAGAAAACTTGTCTTGACCCACGCAGATCTTGTCACACTCAAAATAGACGTGGGTTGTGATTTTAATGCCTCTCTGTAGCACATTACAACACTATAGTCTACAAAGACGGAATCTTGCCAGCTAAAAAGTTGCCCCCTTGGGGAAAAGGTATGAAGCAGAGGTTCTCAACCTTCCTAATGTCGTGACCCATTAATACAGGTCCTCATGGAGTTTCTGCCCAGCCCCTTTCCAATTTCGGGCTGCTACCCAAAGGTTTGAACACTGCAATCACAAAATATCAGGCTAACAGGACAAAGATACCCGTTTCAACCCTCAAATTTTTTTTTTAAATTGGGGCACTTGTAACAGCTTCACCAGTTCTGCAAAACCTATAGTCCTTTGTGGGCAGAGATGCTGATGGCTGATAATTGCTGGTGGTCATCATTTCCCTTCAGGTTAGCTGTCCTTATTATTAACACCTAAGGGACGAGAATCACACAGGAGTAAATTCATGAAACCCTGTTCAACAGTAAAATACAGTTATATCATGGCCCCATTACGGTACGGCTACAATGTACGCTGCAGCCTGATGTGAGAATAGCAAAGAAAAATGTAGGTAGGATCAAATTGTCTGGTCATACAGAACCGCTGCTTCGCCATTTACTAGAAATCGACCAACAACAAATTAGCTGGAGACAGCGTCGTGATAGTTACAATATAGGCGAAGTAATGGTTTAGCTAGCTATGGGACGTTAGCAACTGTCTAGATTACGCTTGCTACTAACAGAAATTTCAGGTGCCGGTCAATATTTCACTCGTGCCCGTGTAATTTAGCCCAGCAATTTTTTTTTTCCGACGCCATCCTGTCAAAGTCACAGATTACTTGGATCCGTTCTACGGCGAGAAAAAAAAATACAACGAATGTGTGTACAGTGTAGTTATTACTGCTCTTGTTCTTTTGAATTCCTTACTAGAAAATTGTTCATTATTGATAGACATAAATCCCGACTCTATTTAGTCCTTACTCTAACTGTTAAAACACCGACTCTCTTAAAAGAAGCAGCTCACAAAATTGGACTAGTTATCAATCAAGATAAGACAGAATACACGATAATATCAAAATCGGGGAAAGGATATAAACTCTGGCCACACACAAGTCGATAACATGAAAATCAAACGAACGGAAACTACTCGGTTGCAAACTTTATCTGCTCCAACATGCTGAGAAAAGCTGATCGCACAGAAAGCAATGGCAAACTACTGGAATAACCACAACAGTAAAAAAATGCTGAGTTTGGTTCTGCAATATCCTGTAAACTTTAAATGCCCTTCAACATCTGCTAAAGTCAAAGTCTCTATCTCGCAACACCAAGATCAAAATATATAAAACGTTAATAAGACCAGCCATTTTATATGCAGGGGATGGAAAAGTTCAAGGTACATAGAAGCGCTTTGGTTCCTGAGTTCTTACTTGGTATTGCCGGCAAATTACCTGGAATACATTTTAGGCTGGGGCGACCTGGAAGCAAAGGTCAGTATGGATCAAAACCCACTCGAACCTAGACAGTGAGACTGGCAGGCAAGCGTTTAGTACACGGCTTCCGCTGCTCTCTAATGGGAGCATCTTATTGATTTCCAGTCCAGATAATTCAGGTGTGCAAGGTAACGAGCAGGCTGATAGATTTGCTGCTGTTGCTCTTTTGGATCGTGAACTTATCGATGATAAAGCAGACATCGTGAAGGCTCTCTGGGAACTAATGGAGAGTGGAATAGACCAGAGAAAATTAATATAATGAAAGACTAACTCAATGGGCTTCTGGAAGATATTCGGGGGGAAAGGGGGGGGGGGGGGGGTAACACTGGCGGACTTTATCAGGCTGCAACTGGTACTATCTGCATGTTGACTATTCTTTTGCTACTGAGAAAAGGGACAGAGCACGTCTGAGACTGTGTCGGGTACAGTGATGCCAATTCTTGATTGAATGATTGCTTGATTTATTCATTGTAATGAATTGTACTTTAAAACAAGTAGGTTGTGTTTGAGGGAATTACTTAACATACACAATTAGTCTTAAAGCTCCGAACTTTAATATGAAAAAAAAAAAACAGTGAATTGGTGTAGCAATACACTGCTATAGAAGAATTAAAAAAAAAACAATGAATTGTTTACAGCGGCCAAAAAACGCATTAGGGAGTTGCTTGGTCGTCAGAGAGTTCAAAACTATATGTAGATTCGTCAATTATATTTCTCTTCGAGGAAAGAATTCTAGTACTTAAGGACTGAACATTCATTATATCTTTTAACAGATCACATTAAATATGGAACATAGACAGGGAAACAACTGGAGCACCTCAGACAATTCATTATTAAAACATATTCAAACTGCTACATTCTGCGCATTTCGCAGTGATTTAAGTGTAACACAGTACACTGACGTATTATTTGAAAGGTTATACATTATAGACGACACCTGAAGCTGGTAAACAGGTAGGAAAACGACAACGTAATATATGAGTGCTGAGAAGGGTAGTTTTGAAATACAATAAACCCACAGTGAACACGAACTCCAAAAGACCGAAGAAACAATTTGCTTTAAATGAAATTAGAGCTAACTAAGGACTCATATTTAAGTTTTGCAACTAATTCTGACCTACTGGCTAGATAACGCGTGACACGCACACGCACACACACGCGCGCGCGCACACACACACACACACACATCGTGATTGTAACTGACTCAGAAAGCCAAAAGAGGACGGCGAGAACAAGCATGCTTCGCTACCGAGGTCACGGATGAAAAACATTGGAACTTTTCTGCGGAGAGACCGGTGTTTGGGGAAATGTATAGGCGGGCAGACTGGCTGGCTCTGTATAGCTTAGTTGAATATTAATGTGTGATAAGGCAGACGTGAATAAGGCCTTTTTAGTGTATGTGTACAGTTCGGAGCAGCAAGTGGATCATCGCAGTCTGGTGAGAGTAATGCAGCGAGGAGCAACAAGGGGCTGTAGCCGATATTCGATCTTCAGATGAAAAGCAAGACGGACATATAATAAGACCGCTACTGGTACCACTGACATTGAAACTCTGCGCTAGCTGCTGATGATGGCGATGGAGCGCTTAAAAGAACGCCTCGAGTGCTCTGATGTCGGTTTTTGAATTAACTTAACTCCCCCTGAAAGGCCTCCAAAGGTAAGATTTGGCTACAATGTCGTAGGAGAATATCATGTGATGAGATTCCAAGAGGTCACAATCTCTACCCTGTGGAAATCTCGTATTACTGTCTCAAAACCAGTGTCGTCCATATTGTACACATCATATTTACGCAACCAGTTGTTTTCCCCATCTTCACCAACTTTATTTGCTTTAAACAGAAAAAAAAATCAGTAATGATGAAATTGATTGTCTCACCTGAAACCGATACAGCCAACCAGCAGCAGCACTGAGAATGTGTTCACGATCTTAAAGTATTGCCGATAAGGTAAACTTAGCAATTTTATACTTTTCAATAACTTGATTTCTTCAATGCACCATGGTTTACTTTTTCTATGATTTTTAGTTTTGTTTGCAGATTTATGCCTGTTTACTTCCTGTTGCATGACTCCCGTCTTACTGATTGTAAGTTCTATATAAACTTATTTTTACTCGTACTGACTACGTTTTACAGAATAGAAACAACAATCTGTATTGTTAAATTACAATACTGCAATTTGAACACCTCAATGAACTGAATCATATCCTATCCCAGATACAGATTTTTTCATGTTAACCAAGTGCATGGTAACGAGGGTTTATTTTAGTCCAAACTGTACAGAGATGTTTCTGAAGTCTGAAGCCCCAGATGAGGAGTCGATTTACAAGCTAATGTAAAAGGCAACGAATTACGTAATAGTACTTAAATGGGTGGTGTTATTCCGAAACGAACAGACATCGCAGCTTAGTTGCAACCACCAACTTAACATATCAGCCGACTGAGGGCGAACGTAGAAACATTCAAAAAAGATTAGAAATAAAAATATTTAAAAAAACAACTCACCTTCAAATGACGTGGTGTTATTTCTCTAGTAATGAGGACATCTTTTCCCTCTAAATCCGGGCCTGACAGCGGGTAGATTACTTCTCCAATGATCTCATCACGCGAGAACCGATCAAAACAGAGGACAACAAAGTGAAGAGTGGTGGTGGGAATCTGGTTGCTAGTTACGCCGTAGAAGGTAAAGGTTTCATCATAGGTCGGGGATAGCGTCTTTCGTAGAACTCGAGTTTTGCATTTGTGTTTCTTCTCTGGCAGCAGTTGTAGCTTAACGTAGGGGTCACAGCCACCAAGACTGGGGTCTCTTGGTGGGAGCTCGTCGGCCTTGACGATGGTTACTATCAGGGCACACTTCTGCTCGTCGTGGGACACGGAGAAAGTTAGGCTTCCTAATTTTGTTGGGCGCTCATGAGACACAACATTCCGATCTCTCAAAGCATCTTCTTTTTCTGGTGTCGCTCCGTCCTTTTCCTGCTCTACGTGCATTTCCGCCTTCACACAGTGAGCTTGTTCTGGAGAGTGACCAGAAGTAAACCCCATCATAGGAATCCTGTCAACACTGGCCTCTCCACCCGGTGGGGTTATTGGGCTTGTACCTTTTGAGGTCATTATCTTCGTGCTGCTTCGAATGGACATGTTTTTCTGGAAACTTCCAGAATTGCTCTCTTGCAGGCCCTTTTTGATTGCCGATGACAGCCGGTTCTGGGCGTTCTGCATGACTCGTCGCCTGTAGCATTGATAAACTACAGCAGTCATTCCTACCAGGAACACGAAACAACCAAAAACGATTCCAGAGACAGCAACGGACGAAACTGAAATCACAAAATTAAATAAAATAACAGTTAAAAAAAAAAAGCTAATAGAATAAAGTCAACCTTTAGTTTATTGTGTATTCCCGAGCTTAGTGGTAAAATTATAGTAGTAGCTAAGATGCGGGTTTGCCGGTTCAATGTTTATATATATCGAATCCCCAATGCTAGGATTGGCATAATACCTTCTTCTTCTTCGTGTTCACTGGCTGTAAACTCTGGCGGAAAGTTCTGGTTCTTCATCCACTTTCGGACTGCAGATCTGCCTTATTTGTATGCAGACTGCTGGTTCATTGCCTCTCAGGCAGACGCACTTCGACTTCGAAGGACGCTCCCAATTAGCCTACTCTTAGTCTACATGCTTTTGGGTGGGCAGTGGTTCTATTCTTGTTTTCAATATAACAGAGCCCCGGAACCCGCACGGGGAGGCATGATAGCGTAAAGCTACTTCCATAGCATTTACTTCCGCAAAATGTGTTCGAATATTCACATTAAAGGCCACAACACACACAATGTGTTTGAATATACACAATAAAGGCCACAGTACACAAAATGTGTTGCCTACGTCCTTTCATCAAGTTTTTTTTTTTTTTTTTAAATTCTGATACATTATGGTTCGAATCCCAAGGGTGATACAAAATAAAAAGGAATCCTACCTCGGTTTGGGAGTGAATGTGAAAGTGAACCTCTCCCTTGACATGCACTAACTACTATGCTACAGTACTTGATAATATGTTTGATGTATGAAGATTTAATGAACAATTCTTTAATTCGTTAAACAGATTCCAAAGATGGTGGTGGCTGTACATAATCCTCAACGCAATATCGACAACATGCGAGATGCCACAAAGCCCTGAGCAAGTTCGTCAAGTATTTTAATCTCTGACCAGAATACAATAGACAAAGAAAAGAAGGAATACCGACATTTTAAAAGATCTGAACATCAATTTAGATTATTCGCCAAACAGCATCTTGTTTCCGAAATTAAACAAACATTTTGGTCACATCAAGTGTCATGACGGATTGGTAAAAAAATTATAGCAGAAGGCATGGTATCAGGTAAGAAGGGCAGGGGCCGACCAACGCGAAAATGGGCACTGTGACTCCTTGAATATGAATGTACACGAGGCGGGAGAGCTGGCGGGAGACTGAGTTTCTTTCAGGCAGACCGTGATGAGAGCAGCGTTCTACAAAAGACCTGCTACATGATAATGATGATCACGGACTTAATCTAAACAAAATGAAAAATCTAAATGTTTAATGTAGTGAGTGCAGGTAAAAATTGCTTCCGATGATTAAAACAATATAAAGCAAATTAGGAATTTATCAGTTACACAAATTTAAGAATACAGTGCAAAATATATCCCAAAATGAGAGGTTCGACTTCATTACACCGTGTACTGTTCCACACTGCTCGATCTCTCTTCTTTGAGCAGATGGTTACCAGCTTAAAGCGTCACAGAAAGCACGAACTTCATTCCATATGTCTGAAATAAATGCAACCATGATTGGAAAGATGGGATCTGAAACACAAACCCGCTACAGTCATAGGTACATTGTATATATTGCACATTTCCCTTGCTTTTAAAATACATAAGGTACTGTTGTTTATGATATTTATAATCAAGGATATGTGTGTCTGAGAACACAAGCATTTTTTTTTCAGGATGGGGAGGGGGGGGGGGCGTGGAGAGGGGGTGGGGGTCTATAAAAATAGGAAAATACAAGTAGTGAATGTAAGACTGGACTGCACTCGCAAATCTTAATCCTTAAAAAAAAAATCGTTATCTTCCTTCGTTTGTCCTTTTTCTTCTCATTACTCATATCCTCCTTGACCTTTCCCTTGAATGTGTCTCTGTTTAACCTTTAAAAAGCAGTCTGATGGACAAATGACCATGTCGCCATCTGTGGCTTAGGCGTTGCAAATGCGCTTCGTAATGCCGTAATACCGGGTTCGATGCCAGCTGCGGACAGTCTCTCTTGCGTTGGTTTCGACAGTGCTACCAATAATCGACCGTTCAGAATCAATGGCAAACTACTGAACGTACAAACTTGCTTAGAAAAACTATAACAGTCAAAAATGCTTGGGTTGGTTTTGCAACGTTCTGTAAAGGATACGCAACAAACTTTAAGATGTGTCACATACATTGTAGAGAAGCGGCTCACAAAGCGAACGCTGTGCTGTCATTTGAAAGACATTTCATTCGAATCTACGAAAATGTGGAGGATGTTTTGTCCCGTGGCGGCAAAAATGTAAATCCTAACGTGAGACAGAGCAGCTGTACCACGGCTATAGCGAAACCCCTGATGCATAGCTTGGAGATTGAAAATAAAAATAATAATATTTATAATAAATCAAGCTAATCAAGAAGTCAGGTAAGGAGGCTTGCACTGGCCAAAACACAGACTGCCCAATCTGGCAACAATGTAATTAGACAGCTCTTTGTTTCCTGAAAACCACAGAGAATAAAATGTAGGCCACCATAGCGTAGCCCGAAAGTAATAGATACGAATCCACGTATCGTCGGATTTACTGGGTTCCAGGAAAAGTCCTGGGAAGTAAAGGCTGTCGCGTGATGTTGACAACATCACCCATAGAGTGTCGATTGGTCTTTATAATATAAATCTACATTGTAGGTCCGATGCACTAGCAGAGTCCTTTACTTTGTTTACTTTACATAGCAAAATAAACAGTAAAGCACCCTTTCCCCCGCTTTCAAGCGTATTGGGCATATAAGGCTACATCTATCTTTTTTAGACGAACCCGTATTTGGTGGGTGATGTGGTCAGCATCGCGTCGGCAGCGTAAACTTCCCAGGTCTTTACCTCGTGCCCATTTAAGGCTGATTCGACCTGGGTGCCAAAGAAGTTTTAAAGGAAAAACGAAAATCAGTCTCTGCCATGACCCTAACCCATGACCTTCCGATTCCCATACTAGCATCTATCGTAACAGTAAGTTTCTCAAGAGAACTAGATTACACACACAGACACTCCTAACTTTGAAACTCGTCCTAAATTAGAGAAAAGCAGTAGAGCGGGAAACACAGCTGTTTGCGGCACAGCTGGTGGAGACACAAAAATGGACCCGTACCCTTTGCTAAGAAACTAATTGAAGACTGACAAAATATAGCAGAATTACTCAAAGAATGTAGAGCACGGGTGACCATAACTAAGCGGGACAACAACAGAAATGAAAACAAAAACACAAAGGCCTGAGAATTATGATTACGTAGTTCTCGTGATAGCTGAGTCATAATCAAGAGACAAAAAGCCAAAAATACACGAAGAGAACTATCTCAGACATAAACAGCAGCACACAGGATGTGATAAACAGCAAGATATATTCCGAAACATAAACGGAATGGACACACCTGATGACCACAACTTAAACCACGAAAATAATATCTAAAGCTGAACGTACTCAAGATAAGACTAGAACAAGTTCACGACACTCTCATTGGAAATCGACGTACAGGCTTTTTTTTTTCTCCATTACTGTAGGCCTTTCTGTGAATGTGTGAAGTCATTTTGGGGGTAAGTGCCGATACACACGTGTTGTTGTTGTTGTTGTTGTTGTTGTTGTTCTAAGTAGATGCTTCGAGGTTTGTTTTGTCACTGATGATGTTGAGCGCCCTCGATAGCAAAATATATAACATTACAAAGTATTTTAAGAAAGTCAGCTGCGTATCCTTTACAGGACCAATCAATTTTTTGTGTGTGGTGGGGTGGGGTGGGGGGGGGGGGGGGGGTGGGGGGTTAATTTAAAGATTAATTTAGTTTCAGTTATTGTCACTGAGAAAAAAATTCTTAGGAACTCGAACAATTTGAAATTTAAACGCTGTCTCGAAACGGATTATGTTAGAATTCTGAAGTACTGCTGTAAACGATATATAAAAAAGCTAAATTAAGTGTAAACGGATAATAGCTTCTATTTTTTGACAACTTAGGTCGAGTGTTATATTTTGCTAATTAAGTGCCCTACGCTTTTATTAAACATGATATGCAATTGTTGACACATTTTTCTATTGTGTCCATTAAACTGAATAATACACTTTCTCATATCTGTTTAGTTCATTACTTATTTGATAAAGTTTATTAAAAGGGCTGTTTATTAAAATGAGAATCTAATGTTTTTCAAAATTAAAAGCACAAGGGTTTGATACACAGTCTCATCTACTCAAGACCAAATTTCGTAGCGTCTAATAGTTCATAAGTGCAACTGGTCACGTCTAATAGTTTGTAAAGCCAGCTAATCAAGACTAACAGTTTGCAAGTCCAGCTGGTCGAGTCTAATAGTTCGTAAGTCCAGCTGGTCGAGTCTAATAGTTCGTAAGTCCAGCTGGTCGCGTCTAATAGTTCGTAAGTCCAGCTGGTCACGTCTTATAGTTCGTAAAACTAACTGGTCACGTCTAATAGTTCGTAAAGTCAGCTGGTCACGTCTAATAGCTCGTGAATCTAGCTAGTCGCGTCTAATAGTTCGTAAGTCCAGCTGGTCACGTCTAATAGTTCGTAAGTCTAACTGGTCACGTCTAATAGTTCGTAAGTCTAACTGGTCACGTCTAATAGTTCGTAAGTCTAACTGGTCACGTCTAATAGTTCGTAAGTCCAGCTGGTCAAGTCTAATAGTTCGTAAGTCTAACTGGTCACGTCTAATAGTTCGTTAGTCCAGCTGGTCACGTCTAATGGTTCGTGAGTCCAGCTGGTCACGTTTAATAGTTTGTAAGTCCAGCTGGTTACGTCTAATAGTTCGTAAGTGCAGCTGGTCGTAGTCCAATTTATATTATTCAAAACTGTTTTCATTCAAAGAGCTTGCACAAATTGTACATAAAACACAAAAATCCAATCTATGTACGTTTAATTATTGTACACATTGAAAAGAGTAGACAATATGTACTCTACTGCATTCATTTAGGCAAGTTTTTGAGCATACCAGGGCACTTACTGTCTTTTTATTTACTAGTCTTGTTTATTTATTTATTTTGCAGCAGTAATGCGTAAGTCGTATGTGTCAGATTGTTTTAAATTGAAAAGTGCATTAAATTAAAAAAAAAACAAAATAATTTAACATATTCACGTTTTTTAATAATTTTGGTTTGCCTTCTGATAGCCGGGAAAAAAAAAAAAAAAAGTAAAAAAAATGAAACACAATGTGACATTCTTTACAATTAGATACATTCTTTTTATTTTCTTCAGCGTTGTTTAAACTGCCCCTTTTGCGGCTTTGTGGTTTAGAGATGAGTTATTGCATTTAGCAATGATTGATGAATAAGGGTTCGGGTTCTGCTTTAAGATTAAAAGTTGTGTGAGACTTGTGCAATAGAATGATTAGTGCGTCTCCAACACCCAGAAAAAAAGCAGCGTAAAAAATTAATAAATAAACAAAAATCAAAGAATCAATTATCACTCATTCTTTAAGCAAAGCAGCAATTTAGTTTTTATCTGTCCCAGTGACTGACAGTCAAAGCAAAATGATAATAAGTTGTTAAGGTGTAAGATAAAGGAAAGCCGGGAGTTGAAGCCGGGAGTTAAAGCAGCATTTCTAGTTACCATGGAAACGCGCGAAAAGTGGCCAGCTAAACATTCTGGCAACACTGCGTGTCAAAGATCGATTTCCTATACTCAAGTCAGTGACAACATAAGCCAGTAATCCGTGACGTCAACTCGCTGGCTTCTGTCTAATTTATATCAGTTGTAGAAGCAATTCGATGGGAAATAATAATTCTGTCCCAGTTCTATCATTAATTTCTCTAGCCTTCACAATATTATGAACAAAGTAAAGTCCTTCTATAGCAATTGGTGCTGAATTAATATTTTTTTTTTAGACCAACTGACCTCGTTGAGTGATATGGTAAAATCACAACGGTCACCTTTTCTTCTTTATGATACTTATAAGCCTTAATTTTAGGCTAGAACGATCAGCAAATGTTTGGTGATTTTATTTTTAAAAAAAATCCTTTTTTGATTCGGAATGGAACATTAAACTATCATGAGGACGGAAAGCGTCTAGTCACTGCTCTTCTGTAGTGTCTTATTCGTATGTCTATCCACAACCTTCGGTCTTAAATACGTCGTATCACAAGTGACTTTCACGCTATGACGTCAGACTGTCCAGAATTTTCCCCTTCGGTCTCCATCTGTCTTTATTCTCCTCTAACTTTCCTACCGTCACGATGTACTCCAGTTTTTTTCCTTTTTATGACATGATCAGAAAGGTAGATTGTCTTCTTCTGATGTGGGGAAAAAGTTTTATTCATTAGCCAGTCTTTTCCAAAACATCTTCATTACTCTGTTTCTATGACCAGGGTATTCTCATCATTCTCATACTGCGGCTCCCTTGGCAATATTCCAACAGACCATGTCTACTGAACGGGTTGTATATCTAAGATTATCCTCTTCAAGTGATACACAGAATGCAGCTATTCGGCTTGTAGGGGCGTCAAAGGATCATACACCACACCAGAGTGAAAAATTAGTCAGTCTGTCAGTAAGCCAGGTGCAAGCCTATCGGCGAGTCAGTTAATCAGTCAGTCAGTCGGTCTGTCAATCGATCAGTCAATTAGTCAGTTATTTGGTCGGTCGGTCAGTCTGTCAGTCAGCCAGACCTTTTATCTCTGTGTGGGCTTCGAGGTCCCATTTAAGAAAACAATAGAGCCACTGACTCACTTACAAACATTTCGCAAATGTGACTAATTGGGAGTTTTCTTAAATCGGACGTGTTGAGCGAAAAGGCGCTGACACCATAGTCTAGCTGTAAACCACAAGA